TATATATATATATGAAACCTTAGTTCAGTTTTATTTAAATCTGTAAGTCAGCATTTTATTTAACGCTTTGTATAGTTTTATCATTTATGCTGCTTGCCAGTGATGTTTTAGGTAAATATTTTGGTTGATTGCATTCCATTCAGAACTCGATAATTAGGTAGAACTCAATAAGTTAGTAGTTCAGATAATTAATTATTTCATTTATCAACACTCAATTTTCTCCATGTATTAATTTTGTTATCATACTGATTTGGCTAGTTTGCTCTGATACTTTCCACAGTTATTTGTAGTTTTTAACTGTTTTTTCTTGATGAAACACAATTATTTTGCTGCTCATTCAATTTTGCAAGTTAGCATGTATTATAGACCATGAATCAGTCTCTGTTGACCATCACCATGTTTTAATTTTGGTATGTTGAATTGGTTGCTTATTTCTGTTTCTTGTTCCTCAATATCTGCTTAATATTTAACAAAACTCTTCATCTCATGACTATTTGCTTTTTATAAGCCTATGGTGCTGTGTTTTGGCAAAAGCTTTTTGACATTAAAATTAAATGTCAGCTGTTTTTTATTTGGTAATTATTTTTTTCAACACAAATTTTAGGATACTGATTAAAGGGCTTTTCTTTTTAATTGCTGCAGTTGTTCTTACCTTCCTTTCTCTCTTTTTTCTTTTTTTTTTTTTTCTTTTCCCTATTGTATTTATTGATATGTGGTAATGCTTTTAGTTGTGACAGACTGGGTCCAAAGTAATTACATCAAACCAAAACTTTTCAAAACATAAAGTAGCTGTATGTAGAAATAGCCTTAAATGGCCAGGAAAGGTGCAATCCACAGATCTATATACAGAAAACATTATTTTACAGTGTTTTCTGTTTCTTTTCACTCCTTGTGGATCACTTTCTTTGAAGCTTTTGAATTAAAAAGAGGATAAGGATCCACCTTTTGGAGCCAAACCAGAGGATCTGGTGAAGGCAGTTGGGAAAAACTCCCATGGTGTAAGTTCAGGGCTTTTGCTATGAACTGAGGACCTTGGAAGTAAGAAAATGATTAAATATATCTCTGAATGTAAGCTCTTGCAGGGGAGGGGATTAAAAAAATAATAATTGAATATTCTTGTAATGCATGTGGAAGTTCATTAGCTTTCTTAGTTTTTAACAGGCTGTTTAGACAATTCCATTATTTCTATTCTGTTTCATTCTTAGCTAAATATAGACCAGTTTTTTTTCCACTTCATAAATTGCGTAGGTGAAACAACTGAGAAACCGTGCTGATGAAGATGCTCGCATGATCCACATGAGTATTCAGATGGGTAATGATCCACCTATTTCCCTTCGGAGAGACCTGGAGCATTTAATGCTTTTAGTAAGCCCTATTTTCTTTTAAAATATTGTGGCAAAAAGTGATTGTGCCTTTCCTTCTTCATCAGAAAACCCATATCTGAATCATAACATACAGTACTGAATCTTTCCCTTTTTTAATTAGAGGGATTTTTTTTTTCTTTATTTAAGACACTTTCTATAACTTTTCATGTAAAGGAATTAATTTACTGCCTTGGCTTCTGATGTTAATGAAATGTCATTTAATTCTTGTTTCCTAAGTAAATACTGCATTGCTTTTTATGTTTTAAGAATTCTTGAGCTGCAGTTATTTTACAAAATATTTAAATATCTAAGATTTAACCTATAATAAGATTATCTTAACATATATCTATTATCTTAAGCCATCATATTTTAACATAACTTAGAAATAGGCATTTTAAGACTGTAGGCTATCACTAGAATAGAGATCTGGCTAAATGCATGGAAGTTCTTTGGAATGGAACACCTTTGTGTATCTAGACCTTAATGTTTACACAGTGTTTTATGTTTCTGTAAGTCTTCAAATTTCTCCCTATTTACTGTGGGTAAACGTTAATTAGGTTTTAGGGGTTTTCCACCACTATTGACAATTATTCTGATAATTTTTGTTGTGTTGATATATTTGTAATGAGAATTTTGGAAGACTGTTTTGTATTTGCTGTAGAGTAGGCTAGGTAAGGTGACTCCATTAAGGCTGCTGGAATTAAAAATTCTGTAATTTCAGTATAGTTTTGACCACAAGCATCCACTTAAAGAAAGTGCTTTCTGTTTCTGTCTTTTTTTTTAATAAAATAAAGAAAATTGAAATAAAATAAAACTGAAAGAAAATTTAAATAATGTTTGTTCAAATATTAGTTTTTAAGGCTATCTAACTGTGCTTTCAAAAAAAACCCACATCAAAAAACAGATTTGTATATTGAACTGGTACATTTTATATTTTCTGTTCATTAATAAATTAAAAACTTGTAAATTTCCCCTGAATTAGCACAAAACTGCACAAGTGTGCAATTTTCAATATAGCAGTCTAAAATAGGGATAAATTGTCTTTTCCAAAGGTAGACCTTTATGTTATAGGACATTAAGATGAAAATTTATAGTGAAATGCTTTCTTAAGTAGTTCTGAGATGTGTAGTAAGCTTAAATGAAGAACTAGAAATTAAAATTTACTCTGAGAAATTTGTATGTTCAGATAACGGGTAAGATTTCTAATCCTGATACTGGCTAACTTTGTTTTTAAGTTAATATATCAAGGTATGCAAATGGTTATTTAAGGAGAAATGACACTGTTTTCTTAGCAATGTTTTAATCTATAATAAGTAGATAAAAAGTTATGAAAGTTTCACTTATGTGTGCATTCTGATTTTCTCTGGCTGTCATTTGTTCTGATATTGTTATTTAGAAGCTGTCATTTTCAGAGAGTTTTAAGGAATGAAACACCAGCTGTGGGAAGCTTTGCCTCTCAGACATGTTTGGCTTGTCTAGAAGCAGTGCTTATTGTTGAAGTAATCATCTTTTCTTTATATAGTTGATATTTTTCTAACATCTTCCTTTCTCTGCTAGATTGCTGAATTGTATAGGAAAGACCCCTTTAATCTGGAACTTGCCCTTGAATACTGGTGTCCATCAGAGCCTTTGCAGACATCAACCATCATGGGGTCCTACCTTGGAGTGGCTCATCAGCGACCCCCTCAGCGCCAGGTTATCTAGATTTTCTTGAGTAATTACTGTTAACTTGAAATTAAAGTAATAAAAAAAGAGGCAACAAAGTTTTTGGTTTCTTTATTACAGCTAGCCTCTAAGAAGACATTATCTTTTATCAGTGTGTGTCCAGACATGACATGGTTATTGTTGCTTGCTCTAAAATGAGCTTCTGCCAGTCATTCATGGTTGTCCATAAATGTAGTAAGAAAGAGTCCTGACAAACCTCTTTGAAAATCTTGTTTAGGTCTGATTTTTGTTGCAGTTGCTAATTCTGATAACAGTACTCTTGTGTTTTCTTTCTGATGACCTCTCCACACCTTTTTGGTGTAAATGAGAAGTTAAATTCTTTAACTATAAAACAATGTTATTAACTGTAATTGATAGTATTTTGGGGGGTAAAAATCCATAAGAATACTGCAGTTATTTAAAGCCCAAAGGTAACAGCTCAAGAGAGACAGAACTTAAAATTAGAATGAAGAAGCAATCTAAACAGATGAAGCAAGTATTCCAAAACTCTTTGGATACCTGGGATGCTGTCAGCATTCAATGCTTCTTGAAGGACTGTGCAGCGTTAGGCAAAACTTAGTACAAGATATACTGGACATATCCCAAGACCCACCCAGAATACAAGCAACTTAAGTTAGGGCCTTGTGCAAACTGCAAACACCCTAATATGACCCTGGGAGGAACCACTGTGTGTGTGAGTTACTGTGCAAGGATATGACAAGGGTAGTGAAATCTTTCCCAGTATCACTTAACTTGCATTGTGAGATGTGTTAATAATATTGCTGTGCAGCATTTCTGAGCTGAAGTAAATTTTATCACTAGAAATACAGAATTGGAGACTTAGTGTACTTTGCAATGGCATGATTTAATTAGTTTTGGTTTTTTCCTCTTTGAAACATTTTTTTTTACCTACAGGGGAACTCAATAGGGCAGTCTAAAAAGGAATTTTTTCCTTTTTTTTGAGTTGTGATTCCACCCCTCTACTACACCCTGATTACATTAGAATCTGTTTTCTGACTTTGGCTGCCAATTGTTTTCCTAAAATACTCAGATTTAATTTTATTTTTTTTAAACACTGATCTTTATTTGTTCTAGGTTGTCTTGTCAAAGTTTGTTAGGCAAATGGGAGATCTACTTCCTTCCACAATTTACATCCCATACTTGAAAATGCTGCGGGGACTGGCTAGTGGGCCTCAGTGTGCTCATTACTGCTTTAGTTTGCTAAAAGTCAATGGCAGTAGTCATGGTAAGAAAAGTGACACTTCAGCTCTTTCTCAACTCTTTTTCTTTAGAAAAGTACAGAGACTTATTTGAAATAAATTATGGCTTCATACTTTTAATATTTCATTATTAGTACAAAGATGAAATTGGAAGGCTTCGCTTGAAAGTGTAATCTGGAAAAAAAAAAAACCACTGATGAGATAATTAAATGTCTGAGCACCTTAGCAAGTAATTCACATAATGAAATAATGCATTTTTTAAAAAAAACTGCGTCTTAATACTATAAGATGCAGAATATCAATACTGCTTATTGTAAAATAGAAAATTAGTAATGTCTTTAAGTTGTATATTTTGTAAACATATTTATCTTTCCTGAGCTCACTTTTTTCAGAAGCACTCTATTCTGTTAGAATTTTTTCATACATGTAATATAATAGCACTTTCTCAAAATAAGAGATGCTAGTCAGTCCTGTGTTTTGCATTAATTTTGCATTGATCAAACTGGAAAAAAAACCCCTACTTTGAAGATATCAACAATGCTGCAAACATTCTGATTCATAGAACGGAAAACTTGTTTGTACTGGCTTTTCATATTAGCACCTTTCTGTCTCTATTAAAAAACCAAAAACAAACAAAAAACCCAACAACAAAAAAAAAACCCAAACCAGAACCACTAATTTCAGAAACAATAGCTTTACTTTGAAAGTTTTTTCCTTTTCAATTTAACTGTCCTGCTTGTCATCCTGTAAAAGAGTAGAAAGAAAATGTCAACTGTTTGTCACTTTTCTAGCGGAAAACATCCAAGGAGCAGGTGGCAGCCCTGTCTCCTGGGAGCATTTCTTCCACTCTTTGATGCTTTATCATGAGCACTTGAGGAAAGACTTGCCAAGTGCAGACAGTGTCCAGTATCGTCACCTGCCTCTCCGAGGTATCACACAGAAAGAACAGGATGGATTAATTGCCTTTTTGCAGCTGACCACTGTTATAGTAAATTGGGTAAGCAACCTTTTATTTGGTTTTCTTTCCTAATACATTTTTTTTCTGGCAAAACATCATCATTCAACTATGAAGTTCCCTTGACCAAAAAGGTATGTGGGGAAAATTTACCTAGCAGTTTTTGTCATCAGTGAACTTCAAAAGTACAGGAAGCATCAGGAATAACCATTACAACCAAACACACAGTCCGGGTAAAGCAGGGAGAGATGACACCTTTTCCTGTGTTGCTGGTGTTACTGATTTTCTTGCTTTCCTGACACTTTGGTGTCATGGAGATGTCTTTCAGAAGTGAGGTATGTTCAGAAGAAATGACTACAGAGTAGAACTTTTTTTGCATTCAATTAAGAGTTTGAAAAGGCAAAAATAATAGATGAATTTAAAAGGAGATGGTAGAAATTTGGCAAGGAAACTCATCAACTGTGAAACTTTCCTACTGAGTTAAATTTAAAATGTCCCCAAACCAAGAGTGTAAAATGTGTCATGAATTGACTGGAAGAGGTTTCCAAGAGAATAAAACCGCAATGCAGATTTTAAATTGCGAATTGTCTGGGTAATTCTGGACAGCGTGGAATTCAGCTCTTCAGTACCCACCAGACTCTGCAGCCAAAAAATTCTATGATGTAGTAAGATACCCTTGGTTTTTCTGACACAAACACAAGACAGATCAGTGAAACTAATTAGGCTCTTTAAAAATCATCCTTGGTGGTGGTAATAATGGGGTGTTCCTATGTGAGCTGCCATGTCAGCATTGGATAAACGTGGGGAAAAATAAACTTAAAACTAGTATTTCATGGTGTCATCAAACCATAACCTGGGAAGAAGTAAATTTGTTCTAAGGCTGCAGAGAGTTATCATTTGAGGCTAGAGGCTTGTTCCTGTCCAATGGTTCATCTGAGAGTCTCAAATCAGCTTACACTGGTGATGAGCGTGCTCTTAGACTTAAACTCATATAAGTTCCTAGCAAATGTCCGAATGCAATTTAAATTCATAATAGAAATATTGAGTCGCTCTACCAGTGCTTGAAGAAGCTGTCTAGAGTGTAAGTACTTAAACTTATTTAAGATTAATTCCATGAATACGTCTACTAAAAAATTTAATATTTGAGTTGTTATAAGAAGTTTATACTACGCACATATTTTTTTTCTGTATGGATAGGCACAATTTTAGAACTCGTAAGTCATTAAACTGGGCTTTTCGTTTAATTAAAATTGTTTGGTTTGTAATGGTCTGCCATTCTTCTGATGTTTTGTGTACCTTCAAGTATGAAGCAGTCGTTGATACTGAACTGTGAGTTAGAGATTGTAAGACATGAATGATCTTCAAAGTAATAATCTGCAGTTTTGTTTTCTGTTGAACTCCATAGAGTGAGAATGCTCGCCTGGCTCTTTGTGAGCACCCTCAGTGGACACCAGTAGTGGTCATTCTGGGACTTCTGCAGTGCAGCATTCCTCCTATTTTGAAAGCAGAGCTATTAGAAACCCTTACTGCTTTTGGAAGGTCTCCTGAAATAGCTGCTTCACTCTGGCAATCCCTGGAATATACACAGGTATTTTAAGATTTTCAGTGCTTTGAACTATAGCATCCCAATCTGTTGAAATTATCAATGTATTTGAAACAGTATTGTATTTCCTCCTTAATTTTCTTTTTGCCATTGTTGAATACAGGTTTTTTTCACTTAGTTAATGCAGTTCTTACTATGAAACGATTTTGAAAATGACAGTATGGTTTTATGCCTCAGGGATCTCATTGGCTGTGCTTATTTTACATAAATACAAGTTTTCGAACAGACAGTCCTGTGTGTTTTTTCTTCAGTGTATGTCATCAGTGATAAATATTCTGCAGGTTACATATTTTTCTGTTTGGGGGTTTTTTGGTGTGTAATAGTCTTCTAGTGTGAGTGATGCTTATAGAAAGAAGGGGCTGGCTGAAAAGCTCCACTTTCAGGCATTTAATTTTCAGAAGAAATTAAGTAATTTACAGGATATTGTTGCCAACTTTCACATTTAAATGGCAAATGTCAGAT